TGTTCTTTTGAACTTTCTATTCATCAAAGAGTCCTGTTTCCACAAAAATATGAAGCAGCACAACTGTTTTCAACACTGATAATAATCAGAAATGTTTCTTGAGCAGCAAATCAGCATATTAGAATGATTTCTGAAGATCATGTGACACTGAAGACTGGAGAAATTATGCTGAAAATTCAGCTTTGATCACAGAAATAAATCACATTTTAAAACACATTAAAATAGGAAACAGTTATTTTAAATTGTAATAATATTTCACAATTTTACTGCATTTTTGATCAAATAATATATGCAGTCTTAGTGAGCAGAAGAGATTTGTAAAAAAAAAGAAAAGAATAGTGTAATTAAAATTATTTTAAAAATAGTATAACTTAAATATATATAATTTAAATTTATTAAAATAGGAAACAGTTATTTTAAATTGTAATAATATTTCACAATTTTACTGCATTTTTGATCAAATAAATGCAGCCTTGGTGAGCAGAAGAGACTTCTTTCAAAAATGTTTAAAAATCTTACCGACCCCAAAATTTTGAACAGTAGTTTATATATAGTATTAAGATGGAGATATTAAATTCATAACATAATTAGTAAAATTATTGTCATTGATACTCTATATTTATAGTTATTCTCTGAAAAAAATTAAATTTAAGTGATTAAAATTACTGGAACATTTGAAAAAATATTAGGAAAAATTATGAAAAAAAGAGAAAAATAGTATTGTGTAGTATAATGCGCAATAATAACAAATATACTGTGATTTTTTTTTTTCAAAATTGATAATAATAAAAAAAAGTCTTATTGTGTACATTGTTCTAAATATAAAAAATATTCTGGAAATAATTCTAGAGAAAATGCAACAAAGATGTAACAAAGGCTGTGTGGATGATGAAAAAATTTATCAATATTATCGTAGCTCACGTTTCATATTCAAATCGAATTCTGATGTATAACAAAAAATCAGTTCCTGCTGAATATTCAGTTTCACTCAAATCAAATCCAATTTTGAAGTCTATCAGTCTGTAAGTTCTGACTGATTTAGTTTTAATGGCTTTAATGACCTTTAACTCTCACAGATGGAGGTTCTTGAGCAGCTTCTGGTGAAACAGAGACGGGACGTCCAGAGAGAAAAACAGACCCCATTAACCCCGTCACAGAGTCCAGTGTCAGAGTGATTAGTCAAGCGCTGCTTAAGAGGCTGGTGTTTTCTCTCGCCCGCCCACACACACACACACACATTCACTCACTCACTCACTCACTCACTCACTCTCACACGCTCACACACTCACACACACACACACACACATGCTCACACGCTCACACACACACACACACACACATGCTATTTCAGTGCTGCTTTTCTTCTGAATTTGAGAGGTTTGAAGCCGCTATATCCTGACAATCTGCAGGTTATGTGATTCTCAAAAGCATTGGCTGTGTCTTGTTCACACCACTTCATTTCCCACTGGACTAATCATGCTTTTATTTCAGGAAATTGCACAAAGTCAGCCAATCAGATTAGAGCTGGCAGGATGGAGAAGGTGTGTCAGTGAAGGGACTAACAGACTGCTAGCTAACATGTTCACCAAAAAGTGGAAAATATCATTAACAATATTTCTGTTCCTTTAACTGGTGTTGTCATTGTTAAAAAAAAAACTAAAGACAAAACTATTAAAAACATTTTTGTTCTTTGAAATAAAATGAATATAAATTTATAAATATAAATATTAGATGAAAACTAAAAATGAAAATATAAGAAAATATATATCATCATATAAGAAGAAAAAGAAATTGTTGTCTTGGCAATTAACTAACATAAGTTTAAAGTGCTAAAACTACTAATTGAATAAACTCAAACTCAAACTTGTTTTTAACTATAAAACAAAATTACTAAAAATTAAGATAAAATTAATTACAATTAAAATGAAGGACCTCTAGTGTTTAATAAATTCTAGAATATATTTTTATGATAGTTTATTTAAACTTTCTGGATCACTTGGAATAATTATATAAGATTAAATTCAATTATTATAATGTAATGTACTGTAATATAACTATATATATATATATACACACACACACACACACACACACACACATACTGTATATATATATATATATATATATATTTGTACAGTCTGGATCACAAATAAATTAGTTCTAATTTTTTATGTTTTTTTTAATGAATTAGAATTAAAATAAACTATAAACTTGTAATAATCAAATGTATATATACAGTGGGTACGGAAAGTATTCAGACCCCCTTAAATTTTTCACTCTTTGTTATATTGCAGCCATTTGCTAAAGTCATTTAAGTTAATTTTTTTTCCTCATTAATGTACACACAGCACCCCATATTGACAGAAAAACACAGAATTGTTGACATCTTTGCAGATTTATTAAAAAAGAAAAACTGAAAAATGCTCAGTATTTAGTAGAAGCACCCTCTTGATCTAATACAGCCATGAGTCTTTTTGGGAAAGACGCAACAAGTTTTTCACACCTGGATTTGGCGATCCTCTGCCATTCCTCCTTGCAGATCCTCTCCAGTTCTATCAGGTTAGACACCGACACACAGACAATCACAAACACAAACACACACTCACACACTCACACACACACACACACACACACACACACACACACTCACAAAAAGCTCTTATTTATTGCTGCATTTTGCCAAGCAAAGACAAAAGGGGGGGAAAAACAAGCAGACTTGATACTGTATACGATGGTGAATGTCGTCATAACACTTTACCTATAATATAGTATAATTTTACCTATAATAACAGCCTTACCTATGATTAAAAGTCTCTTTGTGCCAAATTCGCTGTACTTCAACAAATCAATCTGTGTCTGCACACTGAAGGTGAAAATGTCTCACACGACACAATAACAGCCAATCAGAACATCCAACCTGTCACTAAATGATGTAAATACAGGTCTCAACCTCATTATCTACTAACAAAACACATTTACTGTAACACACCCACAAAAACAACACTAACCACATCACAAACACTGAGAAAAGAGTCGACCTGGAGCCAAACGTGTCCACCTCAGCTGTGTGGGTGTGCAGTGAGTTGATATGAACACACACATACACACACACATACACACACACTCTCACTCACACACACACACACACACACACACACACACAAACACAAACACACACACACACACAGCCTCCAGGAGTGTAAGAGGAGATGAGATTAGCTGCTACTCATCTCAAGACAAAAAGAGAGTGACGTTTTGACCAAATTTCCTCCCACACATTCCAGAAGTTTCCTTGAATTCAAGCATGTTCCTGGTGAACCAGAACCCCTCAGATACACACCCATGCCACAAACAGCATGGCTTTCAGCTTTGATGCTGGAACAGTAACAACGAGACATATTCCACACACACACACAGATACAAACCGAAACATGTAGAAACAGGAGAAATGAAGCCGTGAAACCAAACAACTGACATGACGTGATGTCATTCACATTTACACAGGTGCTGTAGGATCTGTGTTTCTGTGTGTGTGTGTGTGTGTGTGTGTGTGTGTGTGTGTGTGTGTTGAAGACGCTTGGGTAATTGCATAAGAGGTTGTTAATAAGAGGTTGTTTCTTAATCCAAACAGGCTGACGTCAAAAGATTTACGTTAAAAAATGATCACATTCTGTCTTGTAAAATGATAAAACATCTTGCAAAATTATCAACTTCAGCTTTAAAAAAAAAAAAGAAGATATATAGATATAGATATAGATATAGATAGATATTTACAGTTGAAGTCAAACTTTCACATACACCTTGCGGAATCTGCAAAATGTTAATTATTTTACCAAAATAAGAGGGATCATACAAAATGCATGTTATTGTTTATTTAGTACTGACCTGAATAAGATATTTCACTTAAAAGATGTTTACATATAGTCCACAAGAGAAAATAATAGTTGAATTTATAAAAATGACCCCGTTCAAAAGTTTACATCCCCTTGATTCTTAATACTGTGTTGTTACCTGAATGATCCACAGCTGGGTTTTTTTGTTTAGTGATAGTTGTTTATGAGTCCCTTGTTTGTCCTGAACAGTTAAACTGTCTGCTGTTCTTCAGAAAAATCTTTCAGGTCCCACTAATTCTTTGGTTTTCCAGCATTTTGTGCATTTGAACCATTTCCAACAATGACTGTATGATTTTGAGATCCATTTTTTCACACTGAGGACGACTGAGGGACACATATGCAACTATTACAGAAGGTTCAAACTCTCTCTGATGCTCCAGAAGGGGGGTGAAAACTTTTGAACAGAATGAAGATGTGTACATTTTTCTTATTTTGCCTAAATATCATATTTTTTCATTTGGTACTGCCAGAAGCTGAAGAAGATGTTTCCCAGAAGACAAAATAAGATACAGTTACCCTGATCTTCAAATTCAAAAAGTTTTCACACCCAGGCTCTTAATGCATCGTTTTTCCTTTTGGAGCATCAGTGAGCGTTTGAACCTTTTGTAATTTAAATACATATGAATTTTAATACATAATACTATTTATATTAATGTATTTAATAATTAATTTATATTATATTACTTATATATAACTGCTTGGTATGTTCGATTTACCAATTCTGAAAAGTAAATAATATAATACAAATAAATAAATATAAATAAGTACATACATGCATTTATTTTTATTACATGTTCAAATTTCTGACTCTTGAAAACAGCACAAAATCCAGTCAGATTGGAGCTTTTGATCAGATTTAGTCATTTAATGATTGCCATCTTTGTGTAACCTTCATTAGAAAGTCAATAAACAGTCCATGAGCAGTTTGAGACTGGAACTAGCCTAAACCCAAATCCAACAGGGTTTTTCCACAATGATAGAGCTGATAGAGATAGAGAGTTTGCAAAAAAGACATTTAAAAAGAAATCTCACTTGAGGTCTTGATAGTGTAAAGTAGCATAATTGTCATTATTTTACAGCTGAACCTGATGAAGTCTGAGTTCTTACCGACAGACGGTGCCCTCCGGTGGTGTGGAGGACATTCCAGCGTTCCCTGCTGTGTGCGGCCAAACATAGCCGAATAAACCGCGATTTGCATCCCTGTCTTACAGCCCAACCGCAAGCGCTCGCCTTCACACACCACTTTACTCTTATACTCACCTACAGAGAGAAAACACACAGTCATAGCAAAACACTATTCATGACTCGTTTTACTTTTAAAATACATTAAATAAACAGTTCATTTAAATTGTAATAATATTTCACAAAATTATTGTTTTAATAAAAAAATTATTACTGCATTTTTTTTTTATCAAATACACTAAAAAAAGTTTGGAATCATAAAGATTTTTGTTGTTTTTGAAAGAAGCCTCTTATGCTCACTAAAGCTGCATTTATTTGATCACTGTTTTTACTGTATTTGTAATCATTCTTGGCAACCGTAATTTGATGCATTTATATGCGAAACAGCTTATATAACGAAAAATACATAGGGCTGGACCAGGGTTATTATAGTGAGCTAAACATTAACTGAAATAAAATATTAAAAATACTTAAATTTATTTTATTTCAGCAAGTTGCCAAAGCAACATTTCTCATTTTCATTAACTTTATGTATTAAAACAGCTAAAACTGAAACAACTATATAGTCATAATAATAAAAAAAATTATAATAAATAAACAAAAAAAAAACCTAATAAAATGACAAAAGCACAAAACAAAATGAAAAAATATTTTATAGAAAAAAAGCTTAATATAAATATTAAAAAACAATATCTAAAAAATTACTAAAATTTAAAAACTGAAATAACAAATAAAGTAAAAAAATAAATATTAACATAAAATAAAACTATACAAAAAAACAATAACTAATAAAATCAACCAAAACTGAAAAAAACGATATAGTCATATAAAAAACAACAATAATTAATAAAAATGAGAAAAGCACACAACAAAATTACTAAAATGAAAATGAAAATGGAAAACCATTCAAAATGTCTTTTTAAAAGAACATAATAGTATTTCAGTTATACTAAAACAACACTGGGCAGAACTTCTTATCCATTTTATCATGAATAATATGGTGACATCAGCTGAAAGGAACATGTTTTAAAGGGGTCATATGATGCGATTTCAATTTTTCCTTTAAATAAAAGTCCCATTTTCATTTCAACTCGACTTTAAACCGAGCCCATCTGTGCATCTGTAGAGCTTTAACAGACACAGTGACCCGTAACTGAAGTGCAGAGTTTTATTTCTCAGACCTGCATGAGAGGCAGAACAGAAGTGGACAGATTTCTCTCTGCTCAGCTACCAGAACACAATAATCTGTGTGTGTGTGTGTGTGTGTGTGTGTGTGTGTGAGACTCACTCGGCCTGCACTTGTACCGCACACTGAGGTATTTGCTGACGGTGGGACAGGGGTCCGTCCCAAACAAACGACTGTTGACAAGAACATGACATCTCCTCCTGTCCTCACATTCATCCAGCATCTTCTGCAGAGAGACAGACAGATCCATACACAGACAGACCCAGACAGATCCAGACAGACAGACCCAGACAGATCCAGACAGACAGACAGATCCAGACAGACAGACAGACAGACATACAGACCCAGACAGACAGACAGATTCAGAGAGACAGACAGACAGACAGATCCAGACAGACAGACAGACAGACCCAGACAGATCCAGACAGACCGACCCAGACAGATCCAGACAGACAGACAGACAGACAGATCCAGAGAGACAGACAGACAGACAGATCCAGACCCAGACAGATCAAGACAGACAGACAGACAGATCAAGACAGACAGACAGACAGACAGACAGACAGACAGACAGAAAGACAGACAGATCCAGACAGACAAACAGACCCAGACAGATCCAGACAGACAGACAGACAGATACAGACAGACAAACAGACCCAGACAGATCCAGACAGACAGACCCAAACAGATCCAGACAGACAGACAGATCCAGACAGACAGACAGATCCAGACAGACAGAATGCTTTCATTTAGGTACATGCATTCCATGGCTTTCATTTTTCCCGCAGTAGATTCCTTCCCTCCGGGCACAAAAACACACAGACTGTAATTTTACTCCGGCACACAGTGCTGTACATGTGTGTGTTTATAGCGTGTGTTTATAGTGTGTGGTTTTAGCGAGCGTGTAAGCGTAAATCACGCGTGTGTGTGCTGTCAGAGACGCTGCAGTTCAAAAGAGCTACTGCCACGTAAATCAGAGTCACACACACCTTCATCAGCTATGTTTGGATATTAAACACATTTAATGCACAAAAACAAAATACAGCCTTATTATTAATATTAGTGGTTCAACGGATCACAAATCTCACGGTTCGGATCACATGCGCTGTGTGTGCGGCTGTGCACGTAGAGAACAGCGCGTGAATAACGAATCGAGTTCCCTTCGCCTTTTCTCTCTGGAATTGTTTAAAATTCGCTTGCTTGTGTAATTACGAACAAATTATAAACTTATACTATATTACGGTTAAATTTTGCAATTAATCCACGGATCACATGCGTGCCGAACCGTGGGGCTTGGTCTGTACGGATCACGGATCAACTACGATCCGTTTAACCACTAATTAATATACTGTGCTACACACATAGAGTGAAATATATGAAGAACTTTCATATGTTTCATAAGAAACCCTTTTACTTCTTTAATTTGATGTATTTTTGTATGACACAAAAATATTCTACAAGAAAAAAAATGTAGGGCAGAACTTTCATTCATCTGGAATCAGTGTTGTTACTGGTAATTAAAGCTAAAATTAGATAAAATTATTCATATTTGATTAAAAACTTAAACTTAAAAAAACGTACATGAATATAAGAAATGTTGCAACTGAAATAAAATAAATGTAAGTTTTACTTAAGTTACCAAAACTAAAACTGAAATGAAAAATAAATTAAAGCCAAATACAATTATTTAAAAAAAACTATTTCTAATAAAATGACAAAAGCACAAATCAAAATTACTCAAATTTAAAAACTGAAATAAAAAATTAATGCTAAACAGAAATATTAAAAAACAAAAAGACAAAAAACAAAATGGAACTTAAAAACTGAAATAAAAGTAAATTAAAGCTAAATAGAAATATTAAAAAAAACAATAACTAATAAAAAATTATTCATTACAAAACTAATTACAAAAACTTTAAAAATGAAATAAGAAATAAATGAAAACTAAATAGAAATATTAAAAAGTAATAAAATGACAAAATAATGTAACAAAATGACTAACCTTAAAAACTGAAATAAAGAAATAAATTAAAGATAAATAGAAATGTTTAAAAATAAGAGAATAACAAAAGCACATAATAAAATTACAATCCTTAAAATTTTAAATAAAAATGAAAGATAAATAGAAATACTGAAAAAAGACGACAAAAGTGCATAACGAAATTACTAACCATAAAAACTGAAATAAAAAATTAAAGCTAAAAGACTTAGCTTTAAAAAAAAAATATATATATATATAACATTACTAAAACGTAAACTAAAATTAATATGAAAACTAAAATAAAAAAAAATAAATATTAATAAATAGTATAACAGTACTGGATGGTGTAAAGATTAAATATCTCTATTTCTCTTATCAATATTTACCTGCAAGGATGTGGACACATGACAGGAAGTGATGTCATGCACTGAGCGTGGTCCAGCACTGCTATAAGGGTTTGGGCACTGAGGTGAGTGGGCGGGGTCTGTTCTGCCGTAGAAAGCTGATTGGACGGTGATGTATTTAATTGCGAGTTTAGCGAGCAGTTTTTGAGATTTCAGGGTTCCCTCATTCATTTAGATGCTTGGTCTTGTTTGAGCTGCCCGGAGGCGTTGCAAATATGGCGGCCGAGTGAACGGACTTTCCTTGAAAGGGAAGGATAATTTTGACTTTTTTTTCTCAGAAATGTGAGATATATACTCAGAATTGCTAGAAACAAAAAGTCAGAATTCTGAGAAAAAAGTCAGAATTGTGACATTTAATTGCATGAAATATGAACTCGCAATTCTAACTGCATCATATGATGTCAGAGTGATAAAGTCCACCCAAAAAATTTGTGTTAATCTCAAACAGAGATGCTAATCATAAATGTGAGCTTAAGATGAAAAAGAGCTTTGAAAAGCACAATAGCATTACAATATATATTTAAAATAGGCAAATAAACATGGTCGGCATGGTGTTTAATGTTGTGGTGTTATAATCGGCCTCAGATAAATGTCACACAAAGCTACTCAAATGCATTCATAACGAATGAATGAATAATGAAATAATCATGGAATACAGAAGGCCTGTTCTCCTGCTCATGAAAGGAATGCTGTACAATCCACCCGGGATTCCTCCGAGAGCTTTAGGCTTTCCGAACACAATCCCTCCTGCTATTGTTCTCGGACAGAAGCCAACATTCCAGCCTCTGATTGACAGCTCCTTTCACCAATCACGGTTCAAACGACAGACAACACCTGCGTGGGATCTCCGATCAGAGAGCGGCCTCTAGGCCAGCGATCACACCAATATGAAGCGCTCTAAAGCAGCTCAGGTGGAGGTTTACCTGAAGACGAGAATAAAACCAGGTCAAAACACCTAGCTACTGCTGCAGGGATCATATCATATCAATATGGAGAGAGAGTGTGTTTGAAACGGCATACTCAAGGAATTAAACAACATTTATGATCATTAAATATTACGGTTTGAAATGTTTAGCATGGCACATCCTATTAATATAGTTTATAATGCATTGCAGTAAGACATACTCTAGTATTCCATTCGGAAAACTGGAATGGAATGGAATACTAGTACACTTTTCAATGCAAACAACACAATACATAGCTTTTATTTTTATATTTTAAATTTAGGCGTTAGCAATTTTGTGGTGCTTTTGTCATTTTTTAGCTGTAATTTATATTTATTTATATTTATATAATTTTAGTAATTTAACGTAAACATATTTTATTACACTTAGTTACCAAGGCAATTTTAAAAAACGTTTTTGTGTTAGTTTGAATATCACAATTCAGACTTTTCAAATTATTATTTTTTAAATTCAAAATGGCAAGAAATAGCATAGTATATTGTAGTACTTATTAATATTTTGAAATAGCTTTTATTTTTATATTTATAACATTTTCATTTTACATTTGTTTTAGCATTTTTGTTGTGCTTTTATTACTTTTTGTTTTTTATATTTCTATTTAGCTTTCATTTCTATTTATTTCCGTTTATATTTAATAATTTTAGTATTTTGATGTAAACTTATTTTATTTCACTTAGTTGCAAAGGCTACTAATTTCATTAGGTCTACGTTGTTCAAGATGAGTTTTTTCCATCTAATATTCGTATATCATTTTATTTAAGCATTATTTTAGTTCATGCAAATGATATTTAATAGTTCACCATAGTTACCAATAACAGCACAGATACCACCGTGGAACCCAGTTATTATAATAATTTAGTTGTTGTTCAACTTTTTTAAATAATTGCATTTAATCCAAATTTTGTAATTCATGTCAAACAGTGAGTCAAGAGGACGTTACAAATCACAGTGGAAGCAGATCTAGGTCAAGTCGAGAGCATTGCATTGTGGGATACAGGGCTACACATTGTATACCGCAAATGTTGGCAAATGAAGCATGCATATGAAATACTGCAAAAATAGTATGAAAAGCGGGGAAAGCTGCAGAGCAGAGCCTAAAAAGGGGATGAAGTGGAAAAAGTGGAAGTGACAAGTCGTGCTCAATCATGTGATCATCTGAGGGGGTAAAAAGGGGTAATTTACCACCTTTCCAGTGCCCTAAAACACAGAAGCTGGATGAGAGACGGCCAGTAAGAAAAGACAGAAAACTTGTATGTGTGTGTTAGTTGTGCTGGAGTTTCCCCTCTGTTTAAATGATGCTGCGCTGTGATTGGTGGAGAGAGATGACGGCTGAATTCCATACGTCTGCAGAGTAACGTGAAGCAAAACACAATAAACACAGCAACACATGCACACACACGCACCCTCACACACAATCCAGCGGTCTGTCTGATCGCTGTTCAGTGTTATTTGTGAAAGGTGAACTGTGTGTGTGTGTGTGTGTGTCTATCCAGCATATTTCATTCTCTGAACATTTAACATTCACCAGGAGCGGAAACTACAACCAGAAACCCACCATATATAAACAGGTTTGGGGTCAGTAAGATTTTTTTTTAATGATTTTGAAAAGTGTCTGTGTCACCAAGGCGGCATTTATTTGATCATCAAGTACATTAAAACAGTAATATTGTGAAATATTATTACAATTCAAAATAACTGTTTTCTATGTGAATATTATGTTAAAATGTAATTTATTCCTGTGATCAAAGCTGAATTTTCAGCATCATTACTCCAGTCTTCAGTGTCACATGATCCTTCAGAAATCATTCTAATATGCTGATTTGCTGCTCAAGAAACATTTATTATTATTATTATTAATGTTGACAACAGTTGTGCTTCTTCTTTTTTTTCAGGATTCTTTGATGAATAGAAAGTTATAAAACAGCATTTATTTGAAGTACAAAGCTTTTGTAACATTTAGATAAATTCTTATTACTGAATGAAAGGATTCATTTATTTTGAACAGAAATTTATACATTTATTAAAAAACAACATGCATTGGTCATAATCTAATAAAGAGAATATTTTGCCCTTTTAAATAAAAATGTTTTCTGAAAGTCTGATTAAATAATGAGTGAGTTGAATTAACACGTGCACATAATGTGCCAAAAGCCGAAGCGGTGCGGCTAATCATTTTTAGTCCTCAGAAAGTCTTTAGCTTTGACTCACTGGAGCGGCACTAAAGCGCCTCTACTGCCGCCGGTGATGTTTTTGGAAAATTATAGAGCGGAGTTTAACATGAGAGAGCAGATATTGAGGAGGAATGCCCTCTAAACCCGAATGTAGCTGTGAGGAGAAGCTCTCCAGCCATCAGGAAGCTCAAACACACCCTAAACCACACAGCGAACGCTCGCAGGAAAACACTGCGCAAATAAATGGACAGCGGTCACAGCAAAGCTCAAAATAAGAAGATGATTTCGTTTAAAAACTCGGGATGACCTCACGTGACCTCAGAGAACAGGAAACACACTACAGTGTGCGTCAACATGGCACTACAATAGAGATTAGTAGCTGCTAATAAATTAAACAGATCAGCTGAAGGAGCTTAGATTAGATATTAGTGTTTTCAAGGAATAGTTCACCCCAAAATAATGTCAAAATTCTATTGTTATTGATTCACTATATTGTTTCAAACCTTATTTTCTTCCCTGCAAGAACTGTCATGCAGCAGTGAGTAAATGATGATTTGTATTTCATCATTTAAAGGACAGTACCTTAAAGGGACAGTACACCCCAAAATTGTAATTCTGTCGTCATTTATGTTGATTATGTCTTTCCAACGCTGTTTTGAAGATGAAGAACCAAACAGAATGTTTGTAACTATACTGAACCAACATTCTTTAAAATATTGTTTATGAAATGATTTCTCTCATTCATTTGATTTGGTGTTCAGCAGAATAACAAACACCAGAAAGCCCCAATACAGGTTGTTCCTGTAGTTTTAGTGATACACATGTACCTTTTACATTTGTGACGTCATAACGGCAATGATTTCCGAACAAACTATTTTTGCTGTGTCATTTAATCGTCTGGCTGAACTGGAGAGAAAAATGTGTGAAATAAAAATCGAAGATCCAAAAATATCTCCAAAAATCCATATGAAATGGTTTAATCCAAGGCTTGTAAAGAGATAAAATGGCTTTATATGATGGACTGATTTAATTTAGGCTTTTTTTTTTAAAACAATCTAAACAATGATTGACACCCATACATAGCCTACACATATGGCAAACACGGAAGCGTTATGATCTATATACGTGTGCGTACTGTATACGTGAATAAAAGTCTAAATTTAATATTTCAATGGAGAGACAAAAAGTCTTAGGTTTCATTAAAAATATCTTAATTTTGTTTAGAAGATTAACAAAAGTCGAACAGGGTTGGAATGACATGAGTGTAAGTAAATGATGGCAGCAATTTCACTTTTGGGTGTACTGTCACTTTAAGAGAAAATACTAAATGAAAATGTAAAGCAACCAGTTGAGTTTTTTTTGTATGTGCAGTTTAAATGCAGGTAAATCTGAAACAACACACAATAATAAACCAGAGTGTAGTAAAGTATATAAGTGAAGAAAAAAGAGAGCGATTCTATGACTACTTTAAGAGTGTTTTAAAGGATCAGGATGTGATCAGCTGGACAAAAGCTCCTTGTTCTCCTCCAGCTCTGCTGTGAAGGAGACCTGCTCTTCTTTCTGCTGCTGCTTTCTCTCACTGCTCATTTATGCATCCATCTATAGATATCATCTATCTTTTCCTTTGTCAAAAATGTGAATCTGTAGAAGATGTGCAACAGCCGATAGAGGCGTTATCAGAGATTAGCATTCCCACTCATCTCAGCTGCTCTGCTCCAATAAAACATCATATAATAAACATGAGCGATAATATAATGCACAAATATTTATCTAATCAGAATACACTGCAACATTTAAAACATGCTGTAGTTACAATTAGTAAAGGCTAACTCGGCCATGCTCAAAGCTTAACATCTTGTGTGTTTTACTTGCAGGGTTAAATGATGTTGGATAGTGAGAGAAACAGATAAAGCTGAAATATATATCAGCTATATATATATATATATATAATTATTTCTGCAGCACTATAGCATCACCACATGGATTTGCTAAAACAATAACTGAACACACACCTCAAATAGTCCATGCAGAAAAG